CGCACACACTCACCATCATGCACGCACGCATGCAGGCACACTCCCACACTCTCACCCAAACACAAATTCAAGTACCCACACACAGGTACATACCCATACAGTGATACACTCACATGCACGTATGTACCCAAACGCACACACATGCAGGCATACTTGGACGTGTGCAGTCAAACGCACACACGCACGTACCCATGCATGCACGCACGCACTCATGTACAAACATGCACACATGAACCCACGCACGCACGCACCCGCACATACCCATGCACGCACGCAGACACTCATGCACGTACGTGGACTTGCACCCACATACACCCTGGTGTCTTTTTTAGGGGCACAATGCCAGATCAATGAGCGTAGACCTGAGTGCAGTTTTCTGGTACATGTGATGTTCATGGCTTGTAGTGACAAACCTACAAACTAATCGAATTAAAGCGTTGTAGCTGATGCACTGCACTGAGGTTCTGTTTGCGCTGGGCCAACAATCAGTAATGTTTTCATAAACATGGTGGTCCTATCTCATTTATTTGCCATTTAAACGTGGGAAAGGAAGTAAGAGAGTTGGCGATCAGGAGGTTTTGTTATGTTATCGTTGATTGGTTGGTGACCCATATGCATATATCCTTAAAATATAAGAGAATAATATAGTGCGTTGAGGGAAATATCAGAGTAGATAATAATGTGTTATTATCTACTCTTGGAAATATGTATATCATGAATACTGATTATTTAGCAGGAAGGTCAATATGGGGGCTATTGAAGTGGGCAAGCCTAGCAAAGGTTGTTTTCCTGGGGGCGAGAGGGTGCAAAATCGAATGGGATGGGGCGTGAGGTGCAGTCAGGCTATAGTTAACTAGCTTATAGCTAGAGATGAAGGGATATTAGTTTAACGATGGATTTCGTCTGCTCTGTTTACCTAGCAGTCTTAAGCTGTAGTAGTCAGGGGCTTGTTGCAAGGAACATTAATCACCATGAGTCTCTACAATGTCGTGAACTTTTGAAGCAGAGTGTCATGTAGAGATGGGAATCTCCCGCGGATCCGCTGTTAACCTCGTTTTTCACTTTCAAAAATTATAAATTTTCCAAATCGTTCAAATCCGTTGAGAAAACTGTAGGGGGTGTACTGCCAGCAGCGGAGAGTGGAAAAATGTTCCGTGGCTAGTAATGCTCTTTTACTGTCTGAGCTCGCCATCCCACAGCTGACAAATGTACTATTCATTCGTGTACTGCGCGGCAATGTGCGCGCAATGGCGGCGTTCATGAACAAGCTAGTTTTCGAAATTTCTGTGCCTCAGAACGCGAATTTTTTAAAACCCCAAACCCCCCAAAAGTGCTTAGCACCTGTGGTGCGCAATATAGCGCTTTGCACTATTCTACCAGTAAGTAGAAATATATCGCGCAGATTTCATCCGAGGCCGTTCTCATCTCAAAGTCATGTAGAAGTCATGACATTTTAGACTTTTGATAGCCGTAACTATTTTTGATGATCCTGACAACAGGCCCCCCTAGAGGTTTGGGTGAGGGGAACGGTGCATAAGTACCAACACAGGAGTCACTCTTAGTGCAGGTCCCGTGGCACTGGCGTCAAATATTATATCATTACTATATGCAACTGGTCAGTGGGGGGCGGAGGAGCTGGGGGAGCGTGTGTAATGAAGTACCAAACAACAATCCCACAACTGAAATATCAAAATGTGTTAACCTGTAAGAGTACTGCATCAAGCCGTCAAGGCCTAGGTTATCGCACGGAAAACATGGGCTAATGAGGCATAACACATGTAAAGGTCTGCGTTGAACCAACACTGCGTTGAATTAAAAACAATATATTATTAATTCCGTACTATGAACGAAACAAATCATCAATAGCATCAATCTTACAATCTTCCTTCGTCCTATGTATGTTGACCTACACGTACGTACCTTAGTGTAATCATTACATCGTATCGTAGTGACCCTATGTAATCTGAATCCGTATCCGACCGGACCTAGTGTATCGAGATTCCGTATCGGCCTGACGAGTGTCATTGAGATCCAATCGTACCGTGACCCTAGTTATCGAGATCGCATATCGTATCGGGTGCCCCTCGTTGTATCGTTACGTTTGTACATACCTAGGTATCGTACATCGCGTTGTACGCGAAACTAGATCGTACACTGTTTATCGTAAACTCTATTCTCGTACACGTAACGGGGTGACCCTAAAGTGTAATTGTTACACGTGTTTATGTCACCTAGGTATCGTTACCCGGTGTAATCGTTGACACGATAGTGATCGTTAACACAGTCTACGTAACCAATGTGATCGTACACGCTGTATCGACCATAGTTATCGTTACACCATGTCTGATCGGCGGGTAACCATAGTGGCTTTATCGTTAACACGGTTATCGTGACCGATAGTGCATCGTTACAACATTCGTACGTAACCATAGAGTGTATCTTACCTCTTGTGATCGACCCTAGGTATTGTTACACGTGTTGTATCGTAACCCTAGTGTATCGTTACACGTGTTGTATCGTAACCCTAGTGTATCATTACACGTGTTGTATCGTGACCCTAGTGTATCGTTACACGTGTCGTATCGTGACCCTAGTGTATCGTTACACGTGTTGTATCGTGACCCTAGTGTATCGTTACACGTGTTGTATCGTAACCATAGTGTATCATTCTCACCCTCATGTTTGCGCGCAGGACCCGATTCTGGTGTTGCCCGAGGGCCTGCGGCTGCGGACGGAGGCCGTGCTCATGTGCGCCGTACCCTACATCCTACAGATCATCTGCTGGCAGGACCTCGAGACTCTACCGGCAGACCTCGAACCAGAGTTCGTAGTAGTAATTCCGATTACTGGCAGACATACGTAGTAGCCACGATAGTAGTAATAATAGTATAGTACAGTAATGAAGTAGTGTATTAGACGTAGTAATATTAATAGCAGCAGCAGTAATAGTAGTAATAGTAGTACGTGTATAGTAGTCGTGGTATCATAGAGTGGTAGTGTTCTTGAGTGACTGTGGTGTCCGCAGTGTGAAAGCCTGGAGTTGAATAATATATCTCCCCAAAAACATGTCGCATTGTCGTAGTGTGGTGCTGTTCTTGAGCTGACTGTGGGCGTACTAGAGTCGCCGACTCTCCATGAAAGACTGGAGATTATTCAGGGATGTACGGGTCCTGGAAAACTGTGGAAGTCCTAGAATTTCAGCTGTTATTATTTTTGGTCGTGAAAGGTTCTATAAATTGAGAACATGTCTATTGTGTCCACATGTTACCAATGTTTGTAACAAGTTTATTGTACGGATAGTAGAGCCTCGTTTTTGTTCTGAGTCGATTCCCTCGATTCCCTCGATTCCCTAGATTCCCTCGATTCCCTAGATTCCCTCGAACTTTCAAG